TTTTTTAACAATTATATAAATATTACATACCTTTATTGACGGCTAATGCTGGCTTCTGGAAGATAGGGAGGAGGAAAGAGGGAGGAGTTAGTGTTTGGAAAGGGAATCCCCCTCCATAAAGACTTTAGGTAGCAAAGCCTTCTCTGGGCTTACTTCCCCTTCTTTGTCTTTTAATGCCACTAGGACCAGCTTGAGAGTCACTGGACCCCTGTCTCACAAAATAACTGTCCAGAGTGCTCTGTTTCTGGCATCTCTTTAAGATTTCCTTGAAGTGGGACAGGGTTTTGTCACTAAACATGTTGCAGACATGGCTTGTTTCAGATTTGTCTGGGTGGTACTTCTCGACAAAACTTTGCACAGGAACTTTCTTTGGAGCCATGGTTACTTATTTCACAGTTGCACAGCAAAAATAACACAATCTACAATGGGAAATAAGCAAAATGTTGGGATGTATGAGCAGAAGCTTCCTCAACCACCGAGAGACACAGCCAAACTGACGCACAAGCAGTCCCAGCCGGCAGACAGACGCGCCCCAAATGGTCAATCACCAAATTAACAGCCGATAACCGGGTGCCAAAAAACTGGCCAATTGCCGAGTTGGCCGATAACAGAACCGGCCGATAACCGGGGGTCCACTGTATGTCATGTGGGGTTCGAAATGTGGATGGGGGTAAGAACACTCATGTAGGCTGGTTAGTATGTATAATTATAACGGAAAGTATGGGAAGCACCCTCAGCCGCCCTGCCTCTCTGCTCTCTATCTTAAGACTGACCCACCATGCCTAATGGGTGAGCAGCATTCAAAAACATGCTATGGTCAGCAGCAACGTGAATAACAGTCAGTGATTCACACAGACGGTTGGTAGTGAGTCACCTACTGGTAAACTGGTTACTGGTAACTGGTACTACTGAGATGTACAGTATGTTTAGGCACAGGCACACAAGTATAATTATCAGAGTACATATCAAATATGCAATAACTTTAAAACACTTGAAATTTTGGAAAGTTTCCAGACATAATAGAGAGGTGTGCTCACAGAGAATGTAAACAAACTGGGTAGAGTGTGCCGTATTAGAAAGACTGGGAGCTGTATAGCAAGTTTTGGTCATAATTTGAAATCATCGTATTAGCGGAACGTCGTAAGGTGAAATGCCATAAAGTGGGGCCCTACTGTACATAATATCTACAGTAGACTGTCATTTAGCACGGTAGTTATGTTTCTCAAAAATGCTGTGATAGGTACAATTGTGTTAGATGAACTGCAGAACTTATGGGAAAAATATGGTTATGTTCCTGGGAGCCCCCAAAAAGCCAAACTACTTTTTTTTTAGGCCTCTTATATCTTACAAAAATAAAAGTGAATATGTAGTTTTAGTTCATTGTTGTGATGTATTGTGTGTTTAACTGCTTAAAATTACAAATATAACAGAAATAATAGTATTTCTTACCTTAAATTATGGGTGCTGGTGTTTGTGGATAATTGTGAAGAGAGTGGAGAGTTATGTTGTGGCCCTACTGGGCTGAGGTGGATGGTAGAGGTTCTGGTACTGAAGTCGATGGTTGTATTGGAGTGTATAACTTTAAGTCATTCAGTCAGTCAATCAAGTCATTCAGTCAGTCATTCAGTCAGTCACACAAACTCGTGTTTACCTCTTTTTCTGTGTATACAGTAACACTTCATTACAGCTAATATCTTTGTTTGTCTAATATCTTTGTTTCTTTGTTAATTCTAAGACTTAAGTGCTTATACTGCTTCATGCCACTTTCAGCAACACTGGTATGGCTACTGGGTGTCATGATTGCTTGGCAGATACAAGATATAGTAATTAAAAGATCATAACACAATTCACAAACACAGCTTGTAGCAGAGAAAGACTGGACTGGACACGTATGAATTACGAACGCTGGGATGGTGGGGTGGGGTCGGGGAGTGGTAGGGGACTGCGGGAGGGCTCCCCGCCTGCTCCACAACAAGGCGGCCGCTTGACCAAAAGAGAATTTGCTTTTTCCTTCCCACAAAGTGAACCGTGTTAAATTAATTATATGACGTGTTACATAAAATTGTGCCGCAATTCTTCAATTGTGCAATACCCAAATTGTGCCATATAAACTTGTGCTAAATGATGGTCTACTATACTTAAAACTAGACAAGACAATATTGGTTAACTATATTAAAATCTTATTTAACCCTTTCAGGGTTTCTGACGTACTATTACGGCTTACGCACCAGGGTTATTGACGTACTAGAACGCATAAATTCTAGTATCTTCAAATCTAGCGAGAGAAAGCTGGTAGGCCTACATATGAAAGAATGGGTCTATGTGGTCAGTGTGCGCAGTATAAAAAAATTCCTGCAGCACACAGTGCGTAATGAGAAAAAAAAACTTCGACGGTGTTTTTGGATTAAAACAGCGACTTTGCACTGTATTTTCATATGGTATTTATGGGTGTATTCTAGTTTTCCTGGTCTCATTTTATAGAATGGAAGACATATTACAGAAATTGAGATGATTTTGATTGGTTTCACAATGAAAAGTACCTTGAAATTGAGCTCAAAGTAGCAGAAATGTTCGATTTTTACCAAAGTTCAATAGTTACACAAATAACCCGCACATAAAAGAGAGAAGCTTACGACGATGTTTCGGTCCGACTTGGACCATTTACAAAGTCAGAGTGTGACTTTGTAAATGGTCCAAGTCGGACCGAAACGTCGTTGTAAGCTTCTCTCTTTTATGTGCGGGTTATTTGTGTATCGTTCCAGTCAAGGTATTGTGCCTTTTTTTGTTATTTAAAGTTCAATAGTAAACAAATCATGCCAAGCGTCCAATACACGTCAACTGGTGAGTCTAATATTCTTTCACAAGTACACTGATATTATTTATACCATTTCTACACTAATGCAGTAGTCTGCATAACAGTAAATCTAATTTTTGTGAGAATAAATATTCAAAGTGGTAAGCAAAAGAAATGTAAGAGGGGCCTGGGGACATGACTAATGAACAGAGGAAATGTTATATTAGTACCAGGAATGTCTGTCTTGTTTATTCTAGACCCTATTTGGAAATTGGCATCTTTTGAAATTTATGTGAAATTGGCAAAATTGCTAATTTCTGGCCACTTTATTGGATAACTGAAATTGGTAAGTGGGTGGTTTCTTATACTCATTCGATAGAAAAAATGGAGTTCTAGCAAAATAGTTACGATTTTTGTCAACTAGTACACTGGAATTGGCCGAAAATAGGGCTCAAATTGGGCGAAATTCCCGATGCGTAAACATTGCTGAGACCACTAACTTCACGAGAGCATAATTCCGTAAGTTTTCCATCAAATTTCATACTTTTGGTATTCTTATGATCGGGAAAAGATTCTCTATCTTTTCATAAGAAAAAATAATTTTTCTTCCGAAAAATTTTTGACCCTGAGAGCAAGTTTAGGAGAGGGCCTCTCGACCCTGAAAGGGTTAATTGACTGTTTATGTTATAGGTAAGGCTTCCGGTCAACACTAGACTATTAGCAGTTAAATTCTGGGGAATTAAAAGTCATATGCAGATTTTCGACTGCATGGGAAGCCGGCACTCCTAATCCTCGCATTCAAGAGTCAACTGTATTACCTTTTACCAAACCTCTTTCTATACATAACCCAACTGAACCCCCCCCCCCCCACATTATCCTTTGCCCCTAGCACTCAAAAATCACCTATTATACCCTCTACAACAGTTTCTCCCACTATAGTATCTAGGGCTTCCCCACAACAATTATTTTTTCACTTGTTTAAAACTCCCTAAACACTCAACACCTCCCAAAAACTCTCTCTCTTCTCCAGGTTCATAAACACTTACTACTACCTACTTCTCACATCCCATCTTCATTTTAATCCACATAATTCCTGAATTTATTCACTTATATTCCCTAATTTCTTTCCATAAATTATCACTTAATATTACCACTACTCCTACCTCAGCTCTAATTCTCTTAAATATACTTGACCTAATCCCATTTACACCTCCCCACTTAATTTTTCGTGCCCCCTTTAGCTTCATTGCACTTAGAACTATGACATACAACTTCTTTTCATTCATAACATTCACAATCAATTCTTTCTTCACATCCATACTACACCTGCACACATTCAAACAACCCACCTTTAAAGTTTTCTTTGTCCTTTTAGTAATTTATACAAGGTAAAAAAAGGTTACCAGCCCTTTGCTCCCAGAATTTTAGCTGCCTTTTACAACATCCATGGCTTATGGAGGAAGAATTTTCACCAACTTCCCAATGGAAATGAAAGGAAACACTATAGGAACAAGAATTATTAGATTAGACAAGTGTGCATGCACATACATATACAATAGCTGTCACTAAAGTATGCTGGCTCTTTCTAAAACCACAGCCACAAAATAGGTTGTCCCTTGTTCTTTACATCTTTCAACTGTCTAAGAAGTGATTAACACATATTCTTCAGGGTTTCATGGGGCAAATCCCACTATGATTCACAGAATGCCTCCTAGAGTCAAAAGTATTATTCATAAATATGTTGAGCCCTTCTTTTTGCTTAAAACTCTGATTTTCACTTTTTTTTTTTCTTAACATGTCGCCCATCTCCCACCAAAGCAGGGTAACCCAAAAAAGAAAAACACTTTCACCATTATTCACACATAATTACTGTCTTTGCAGAGACACTCAGATATGACAGTTTAGATGTCACTCCAAACAGCCAATATTTTCACATATTTTAGTGCATAAGAAAGTTATGGCATCTATCCTGTTGCTTGTACTGAGGTAAATGGAGAGGAGGGGGGTTATGGGATACCTTTCTTAAATTGTACAGCAACTGAAGCAAGTCTAGTTGTTATCATTATGTATGATTTTGGAGTACAAGGCCAACAATATGCAAAATTTATTTTGAGCTTTCTACAACACTTCTGGTACTGAACTATTTGCTTCCATGGAGTCAGTGATTAAAGCTATCGTATTTGTGAAAAATTACCTAGATACATACCAAATAATACCGTTGCTGGTGAATTTACTGGAGTAGTGCTAAGAGAGATAGAACTAGTGTCACAGCTGGGTGCAATGGAAAATCTTGACACAGATTCAACAGAAGCTGTTGGAATGGTTGACATGGTGCCAAACTGTGAAGTTGGACTGAAAACTGGTAACCTGGCTTCACAAATATTAGCTTCTGCCTCAAGCACTGCCTCTGTGTCCTGCTGGGATGGTGTTCTTCCCAGCAAGTTCTGACACCCTGAAAAAATCAACTCCTTAATTGTGTGTACAATAGTAAACCCATCTCCGAAGATGTTTATGAGTGCTAAAAAAAGAAATGATGATGATAACTATTTTCAAAAAAGATACATTAGATTTGCAACAGTAGGTTAAAAGTATATATTTCTTACAAGGAAAAGATCATTGTTATGCATAGCATTTTAGGTAGTCTTAAGATAGGACCTACAATAACAAAAATACATATATTGGGCATACACATATACAGTAAGTAATACACTAAATACTATATTAAAATACATAATATATTCAAGCAAATATTATTGAAGGGTAAGTCTTTACTGAATGAAATTGAATTAAAATTTAATACTGAACTGAAATTTAACTCCACAAGAATTGAAAAAAAAAAAGCAAATTAGGAAGTAATATGCAGTAATAATGGTTAAAGATATTATTATTAAACAGTAAAACATTAAAGAACATGGTGTAATTTATAACTTGGAAGTAAAAATTTTATGACAATATAGAGTTATATTAAAACTAGTTTCAGGGAACACATTAGGTACAGTGTTTTCTGAAATCATTAAGTTACAATTTTTAATTTATTTGGCAAGTTATTCCACATTTTTGGCCTTTTTATTTGCAGTGAAGCTTATACAGAGGTTCAGGGGAATACAAGGAGCATCAATAGGGGTACATATTTAATGTGTGATGCTGTGAGTTCTATATTTGATGTGAATGATGCTTCCCACAACTATCACCTGTCTCCATCCATCTAAACCTCTATCACATGCAAATACAGTGGACCCTTGGATTTTGTCGATCTTAGTTATCACCAATTTTGGTTTTGGCCGACTTTCTATGTCGATTTTTGGCATTAGTTTTCATCGATTACCTTAGTTTTCGTCTATCATACAGAACCTGTCCAGTCCCCAGCATGTAGACAAAAGCTGATGTTGCGAAAGGGGTGAATACAATAACCAAACAGAGATCCCAAACAAATGAAGAATTGGAGAAATTGTTGTTGGTATGGATCAGAGAGAAAGAGTTAGCAGGAGATAGTGTTGTGCAGTCCATTATTTGTGAAAAGGCAAGGCAGTTGCATGAGGATCTCATAAAGAAACTGCCTGAAACAAGTGGTGATAAAAGTGAATTCAAGGCCAGCAAAGGCTGGTTCGAGAATTTCAAGAAGCGAAGTGGCATACACAGTGTTGTAAGGCATGGTGAGGGTGCCAGTTCAGACAAACAAGCAGCTGAAAAATTCGTTGGGGAATTCAAATGTAGAGTCTGAAAAATTCCAACCCCAACAAGTGTTCAATTGTGATGAAACAGGCCACTTTTGGAAGAAAATAAAGAGGACCTATATCATGCAGGAGGAAAAGACACTCCCAGGACACAAGCCTATGAAAGACAGGCTAACTGTGTTTGACGTATATATACTCATTAATTCTAGCAGCTTCAAATCAAGCAGGAGAAAGCTGGTAGGCCCACATATAAAAAAAATCCTGTAGCACTGTGAAGGCTTACTCAGCCCCGTAACAACTTCAGTCAGTATTACCAAGGCTGGCTCCTCCTCAGGAAAATTAATGAATAGAAAAAGAAATAATAACAGACAATGATAAACACTTCATTAGTTAGAAACGGAAAATGTAAAACAATAAAACATGAATGGGTATCCTAATTGAAAGAAAAATGAAAAATGAAATGAAAAAAAATTACATTTGAACTCAACGCTAATACAGTGGACCCCCGCATAACGATCACCTCCGAATGCGACCAATTATGTAAGTGTATTTATGTAAGTGGGTTTGTACGTGTATGTTTGGGGGTCTGAAATGGACTAATCTACTTCACAATATTCCTTATGGGAACAAATTCGGTCAGTACTGGCACCTGAACATACTTCTGGAGTGAAAAAATATCGTTAACCGGGGGTCCACTGTATAGGTATATCGTGGTAATGGGGTGTCAGGTGTTGGTGACACTGCGTGTTGTTGAAATCGTAGCCGTTGCTGATGTGGGGGGGGGGTAGCAGGTGTTGGTGACCACCACCGGCTCATTCTTCACAGAGTGTAGCCGTGACTAATTACTTCCGATGACAGGAAAACAGGTTCGTTACCACTGCTACGATGAGGGGTTAGGTCCTGTGTTGGCTTACATAACAGGTAAGTAGATTAAACATGGGACGTCTCAGGACATTAGTCCGTCTCCGTCTATTCTTCTCGTTGGTTGGCAGGTGACCCTCTCTGTCATTCCAAGCTGTAAAGACAGACAGATTACCCACTGCTTAAGAAATCACTCTCCATGATAAGTACAATACCTAAAAGATATGGTGATTATTAAAGCATTTAACCAATCAAGACTGAAAGGACTAAGTTAATTATTGGTCAAAAGTGAAGCTTTCAACCAATAAGTCCACTAAAATATGATCAGGCGTGTATTTACAGTAGTGTTGGGAGCTGTGAGTCGAGTGATTTACTGTTTGACCGGAGCCCCACACGTCACCTTTCGTGGGGGGGGGGAAGAGGGAGGGGAAGGGATAGCGGGAGCTAGACTGACCCTACCTTAACAAGCAGCCGGCAATAAAACTATTGTTACTATATACTCCCTCGCTACTCCTATCTATTGAACTTATCCCTCACAAGCACGCAGTGCATAATGAGGAAAAAAAAAACTCCGACCGTTTTTTAATTAACCCTTTGACTGTCGCAAGCCTCTTTCTGAAACTGTCATTCTATGTTGCAAAACTTTTGGAAAAAAAAAATTATTTTTTCTCGTGAAATGATAGAGAATCTTTTCCCGATGGTAATGACACCAAAAGTACAAAATTTGGTCAAAAACTCACGGAATTATGCTCCACGAAGTTAGCAGTCTCAGCGACATATACGCATCGGCAATTTTGCCAACTTTGAGCCCTGTTTTTGGCCAATTCTGTTGTTCCAGTTGACCAAACTCAGCTATTTCTTTAGAACTCCATTTTTTCTATCAATTGAGTACAAGAAACCACCCATTTACCGATTTAAACTACCCAATAAAGTGGTCAGAAATTGGCAATTTGGCCAATTTCACAAAATTAAAAAAGATGCTTATTTCAAAATAGGGTCAAGAATAAACAATGTATACATTCTTGGCACTAAAATAACATATCCTCTGTTCATTAGTCACGTCTCTAGGCCCCTCTTATATTACCGTTGCTATTTTGATTTTCTATTCATACAAAAAGTACAAAATTTACTGTTATGCAGACTACTGCATTATTGTAAAAATGGTATAAATAATATCAGTGCACTAGTGAAAGAATATTAGACTCCCCAGTTGACATGTATTGAACGTGTGGTGTGATTTGCTTACTCTTAAACATTGGTAAAAATCGAACATTCCCGCTACTTTGAGCTCAATTTCAAGGTCGTTTTCATCGTGAAACTAATCAAAATCATCTCTATTTCTGCAATATGTTTTCCATTTTATCACGTAAGACCATGAAAACAAGAATACAACAATAAATACTACACGAAAATGCACCTCAAGGTTGGCGTTTTAATCCAAAAACACAGACAGTTTTTTTTTTCTCATTATGCATTGCGTGTTGCAGAATTTTTTTTATGTGGTGAACACTGACCACACAGACCCATTCTCTCACATATGGGCCTACCAGCTTTCTCCTGCTTGATTTAAAGCCGCTAGAATTATTAAATATATATATGTCCAAACCACTGGCTCGTAAGACGTATATATACGACCAAAACAGTCAAAGGGTTAATATATCGTTACCTCACCTATGGTATTTGTGCCTGGGGATCAACCACAGCCAACCACCTTAAACCTTTAATAGCCCAACAAAAAGTTGCTGTGTGGATGATTACCAGCTCCTGTGCTAGACAGCACACCCCACCGCTTTTCAAAAGATTGAACTTGCTAAATATACGAGACATACACTCATATTATTGTGCCTACTACATATATATAACATTCAATTCCACTATAAACCCTCCACTTAAACTACTCCTTGAAAGTTACAACAGTCACAATACAAGACATAAGGCACTCTTCAACATCCCTCATGTCAGTCTCACACTATGCAAAAACGCTATGCACATAAAGGGCCCGGAGATCTGAAACTCGCTACCGGAACCGGTAAAGGATCCCCTGACTATTTATAAATTTAGGACTTTGCTAAAAAAATCATCTTATCTCTCAATATTAAGCAAATCAACCAAAACATCTGATAATTAGTTATATATAGAGGCATATACATGTATAGGCATATCAAAAGAGGGGATGGGCAGTTAAGAAATCAATATATTCAATTAAAGAGAGAAATAATGAAAGGAATAAGAAAAGCAAAAAGGGATTATGAGGCTAAGGTCGCAAGGGATTCAAAGACTAACCCAAAAGGGTTCTTTCAGGTATACAGAAGTAAGATTAGGGACAAGATTGGCCCACTTAAGAGTAACTTTGGTCAGATCACTTACAGTGATAAGGATGTGTGAAATTCTCAATACCTACTTCCTCTCAGTTTTCACCCAGGAAAATACTAGCGATATTCCTGAAATAATAGATTATGTAGAACAGGATGATAATAAACTATGTACGATTGTGGTAACTAGCGACATGGTCCTCAGACAAATGGAGAAACTAAAACCTAACAAATCCCCAGGCCCTGACGAACTGTTTGCAAGGGTGTTAAAGGAATGTAAATAGGAACTTAGTATACCTTTGGCTAATCTTTTTAACATATAACTACAAACTGACATAGTGCCTGATAAGTGGAAAATGGCAAATGTAATACCTATTTACAAGGCAGGTGACAGGTCCTTGACTTCGAACTATAGACCAATAAGCCTTACCTCCATAGTGGGAAAATTTATGGAATCAATAATTGCCGAAGCAATTGGTAGCCATCTTGACAGGCACAGATTGATTGATTAATGAATCTCAACACAGTTTTACGAATTTACTAACTTTTTTTCACTAAGGTGCTTGAGGAGGTAGATCATGGTAATGAATATGATATTGGACTTC